TACAAAAATATTACTTTTCCTTTTCTAATACCTAAATTTAATTCTTACATACCTACCAAGTTTCTGTTTAAAAACGTACGTACCTAAGTATCTATCTACATAATGAATATTACATTTATTTTTAATTACAACGTACCTAGCTATTTAGGTATGTACGCATTTCAAAATATATTTTTAGGAATCTATTTTTGTTGTACCTACGAGAATTTTCTTTTTAAATTTATTTAGGTACATATTGTGACTTTAGTATATTTTAATTACAAATTATACGTTAAATAACAAAACGGTTTTCCTTGTCGCTATCAAGACGTATCGATGTAAAAGGAAGAATTTATTAGAGCTAACGGCAAAACGAGCTTGAGAAGTAGGCCAAGATAAATCGATTGTAAGCAACGACGTCTTATACCCTGTTCTTTGGACAAAGGGGAGTTCAAAAAGCAGGTCATAGTGTACCTATGCATATAGACCAAGACAGATTGTAGGTAAATACCTCTCAAAAAGACCAAAGATAAATTATATTTTTAAATAAAACTTAATCAAAATAAAATGATGTTTATATGGATAAAGTCTTAATAAAGTGTTTTCCTTATCTAGGTAGTTAAAAACTTGAAGTTCCCCGTTTAGGTTGCTTTGTCCTATTGGATTTTAGAATTTCCCGCGTCGCTGTCCATTTTGCATTTGGCTTCGCGCCAAATAATTCCAATTCAACTGCCCACGCTACACAATTCAGTTTCTTATCTCTAACTCTAATTCAGCATTCTTATAAATATTATGTTACAAAAACAAAATTTGTTCTTAAAAACCGGTTTGTTTGTGGCGCTTTCTGTATTTTTGTCAAATAATGTGGCCTAGCACTCAAAACAAGTTACCACTTACTGCAATAAGGAAAAGGCGCTAAAATATCAACTTGGCTATGTAGCATTTTAATGGCACTATTTTGTAAGCAACACACAACTGACAACATGTAATACCATACCTACTACCATACCAGCATAACGAATATGGTTTTAACATATCGCTTTTGTTTCTATGCAAACTTACGTGGTAGGTACATTTAAGTCACATCATTTTTTATTTTCTTGCCATTTTCTTTTTTATCTGTCTGATTAGATGATTTTTTAAATAAGTAGACCTTTATAATATAAGGTCTATTGGATGAAATTAAAATCATGTGATGTCGATGATGAGGAGACATAAGCATCGCTACCATGCAAAAAAAAATACACTTTTCTATTAAAAATTGTATCAAATTGGATAAAACTATCACTTATTGAATTGCTAAATTCTATTGGCGTAAATGTGTTCTTGACCCAAGCCAAGGTCAGCAAAAAAAGAATATTACATTAATAAAATTTAAATTCGTTCGCTCATGTTTTTATTATTTCATGTCAAGATGTTTGCGTAGCACACACGCGTTCCTAGCCGACTAGACACGCCTATTTATTGACACGGTAAATATTTGTCTACGTTATCAAGGGAAAATGAAACTAAAGTGTTCGGTTAACAATACTGCCGATATTATGTTCACATGAACAACAAATATTCATGTCGGATTGTCGGTGGTAACGATTTGGGCGAGATAGTATTTTTATTTCACGCTATCGATAACGCCTCTATGTTTGTGTCCATTTCGATTCCGTCCGCGTCACAGAACTTTTACGACTTACAGTAATTAATGTAACATGCATGACTGTGTTACATAGACAATAAAGATTTTTTTAATAGGCCAGTAGTTTAGACTGTAACTATAGAAATTATTCCTAGATAGATCATTTAGGTACTATGGTTTTGGAAGGTAATGAATTATTCCATAAATACCTGTTACTGGATAAGTATGTATGCTATATGTTTGGAACACATGTACTTGACAATATTATAATAGAAATAAACGATTAGCAACTATAATTATTTATATTCATGAACTAGGTGACCGGCAAAGGCATACAAATGATAATTAACTTACGAATCAAATATAGCGCAGTTACTTCTGCTGTAGGTATCATTTGAAATTTCTACATACACTTATTATTTTAAATTAATATAACAGGTGATTTCATCATAATCATGTTATAAGTACCTATTAGCCAAAAGTCCGCAGCTGAAAATAAATGTGATTCATTAACTCGTCGAGTACCGGTTTTGTAGACACAATTATAGAACAATAGGTTGCGGTCACCGGTGACCGCTTGGTGTTTGACAGTTTAAGATATTTTAAGTAATCATAGAAGTGGCATCAATATGGGTTGAGGTCTGGACAAATTCCTCTAAACAAGATTGGTTTTCTAATGAGATAAACAAGCAGTCCAAACTGTGATGCATGCAGAGTTGTTGGCAATGTCCAACACTTGTTACTAGAGTTTCAAGTTTCAGGAATTTAACATTAATGCTACAGAGATAGGTGCTTTACAATCCGTTCTGTTCAAACCATACTGTGACGGTGCTGTCAAGATCTTTGAGTTTGTATAAGTCAAAGGCAAAGCATTTATTTCAATTAAACCATAATTTGGTACTTTTGAAACATCAAGAAATACAAAATAAATACTAGTCTGTCAGTCATAGTTTGGGCAGATCCTAATCTTTAATCATTCTCCTGGTCACGATGAGCCTGGCAACATTATTATAACGAAATTGCAACAACAAATAAGGATCTGAGAAAGTCAGAAAAGGACATACTAATTTTGTCTTTTAAATTGCTGCTGCTCAAATACATCCTGACCTGACCCAATTAAGGGTTATTCACACTGGCAACATGCACTTTCTTTAGAGTTTCTTGTCTGTGGTACTTCTGTTCTAATTTTAACTCGTCGAGTACCGGTTTTGCAGACACAATTAAAGAACAATAGGTTGCGGTCACCGGTGACCGCTTGGTGTTTGACAGTTTAAAAATGGAACACTACCCAACTGTTCTCAACTTCTCAATAAATTATTGCTAAAATACCTCTAATTGTGGGTAGATTGATGTCTTACCAAGCAAGAAAAAAAAATGTTTTGCATTATAATATTGTATTCTTCTTTGTTTTTCTAGCAAAGCATTTTTTTATGAATGATTTATTAATTATTTAACTTATTGAAAATCCAAAGTTCTGACACCAAAAAGAAAAAAAATTGGTAAATTTCATTATCATCAAGTTCATTGTTATTTAAGTATTGTTTGAACATTAATTATATTCATATTATTAAGTTGTTGACAAAACATTTATGAATGTAAGAATAATAATACCAACATTGTAATCAGTGAGTTTAATTACTTAATTACAATAATGCTAGGGCATTAGCTTGTAAAACCAGTACCTATAATAATAGAGGCTAAGGGCAATGGTCAAACATACACACAGCAAGATTTTATATGACTTGATTATTCAGTTTATAGATGTAAAGAATAAAATTAAAATCTTTTATTTTTTAAGTTGCCCCACACTAGGATTTACAACAAAGGAAAGGAAGTCATTGAGAGTTAGTGACTCATAGGTACATGAAATTCATATCATCCACTAACTATTCAACTGTCCATTGTTTACATCATGAGTTATTGAGATACAAAGATTTATCTAGACTCTATTATTTAGTATGATTTCTACAAAAATGTTGACATATGCTCTTACCAGCCAATATTATAATTTACTCATTTAACTCTAGTTTCAAATGAGGTTTTATTCAATAACTACTTGACAGTGTCAAAGAAGATTTAAGAAAGTTCTTTCTGGAAAAAAATAAAATTACAATCATTGTTATTTTTAAATACTTACTGCACTTACGGTAGGTAGTTGTTTTAATAAGTCATTGATCCATTAGAAAAAGAATGAAAAAGAAAGAATACATTCCAGTGTAAACTCTTGTAAAGCTGCATAAAATCAAAACTTATTGCTACTAATAAAACTGTTTACAAACCAAATATTATGCAAAACAGACTAATGAAATAAGTTCATGGTACTATGTGTGTTATTGCATGGGGATTTAGGTTCAAGGTGGCATGTATACGAATCAGGATGAACTTTGTACTTGAGCTTGTTGGTTCCCTTTTATTAGATAATGGCCAATAGTTCATTCATCTGCCCCTTGCGCCTTGTGTAAACTGGAGGCAACTGGCTATAGACATACATGTATTATTTTTTAATGTAGACTACCAGAATTTGTGTTGTTAACCTATCCCATATTTTTTAATCAGACCTCATTCTTTTTCTTTTATAAAAAAAATAACTGCATTTAAAAATAAACAGTTGGTTTTCATTATAAAATTAAAAACTGTACAGTGTACTTGTGAAATAATAATTATAAGTCCTTATTACATAGAAAACAATGATTGTACAACAAGATAAATATTTCAACAATTAAAGGGTGAATAGGACAGGATATGGAAACTTGGATAGGTCTTCATGAAGGAGTTTGGTTTCTGGAAAGAAGTTAAAAATAAATAATTAATTAGAGAATAATGACAACCAAAAGTACAACTGTAGGTATTCTAACTACCTACTTAAAAAAGCAACCTTCTTAATTAAAAAAAAATTCCAGATATACCTAAAAGCACTATGAACCATGGGAAGCTATCATACCTATTTTTTTTTTATTCAGGATATTGTTATGTACAGTAATTTCGATATTCCACATATGTTTTATTTTGATAATAGCGAGTTACCGTTCGGGCACGTACGTACTTATTTGTGTCGGCAAGCAAATATAATTAATTATTTACATTATAATCGCGCTGTTATCGAAATATTAATTCCAAAAAGGTACTATGTCGTGTCTTTTATATAAGTTTTGGGGCGTTTCGGACTTGGCAATGTCATTAAATAACGTAGCGTCGGTCGTAAATACAATACCTCGATGTTTAGCGAGTCTAGCTAAACGAGCCTGATTAGCATAATTCGATGTCGAACACGTATTAAAGCTACCTACTTCGTGCACTCAACTAAAACGCAAACAAGTTAATAACGAAAAACCGAATTAGCAACGACAATGCAAGAGTTTATTATTAGATCTGATATTAAATATTTACTTACCGGATTTCAACCATTTTTCAAACGCCTGTTTAGCATTCAAACGTTCCGGTACCCTGTCCAAAGGCTGAGATAATTCTTGAGTATACGTAAAATAACTTCTGCTATACTTTGCACTACTCAACGCGGCACTTATTCTGCCGAAATTACGGCTTGAAACATTCGGTACAAATTTACACACAGACATTTCGGCGAAATTTCAATTTATTAAACTTGAATCTTAATTTTAAGTCCACCTATTTTATTTTGATTGTAATAATTAAATGTGCCAAATTTTAATTTATTGAACGTCCAGCGCCCGACCACACAGTACTCAAATTAAATTTGATTGGCGGAAGCGCGGAAGAAACAAGTACCGAGCGCAAACAAACGTCAAATCTAGCTTGACACGGCGAACGGTCACAACATTGCCAGTAAAAATAAAAACAAAATTTTATTTGTAATTTCTTCATATTTTGTTCTTCATATTTTATGAACATTTTATTGTAAAAATACTATATAATATAAGATAACAATTATGAATATCGTTATAGTAAAATAATCATCTCATAATAATTTTTTTATGATCATACATTTAGATGATACTCTAATACTTTAAAAACCTTTTGGCAAATGGTTGGCTAATGGTTAACGAATTTCAGTTGTGGGAGAAACTATATGAAATTCTGTTCAAAACCAACCATAATGTACTAAATTAGCTGATAATTTTATTAACTTTGATTTGGTATTGTGACTTAACGAAAGATTTATCTCGAATTTCAAAGAAATTTAACACGATCGAGTTATCTTAGTAAATAAATTACCACAGACAAAAATGACTTTAAAAAAAGTAAATACTTGATAATATTGCTAGACTCAATACATTTCCATGAAAATAAGGAGAATTGTATATTTTTAACCGACATCAACAAAAGAGGTAGTTGTCTTCTCTTTAAATATTTTTAACGTGAATGTTCGGTGCAGCAATTCGAGGATGCCTAGACCATTTTTTTGATCGATTTATACCGTTACCGTATATGTATAATTAATACCGTATGAAAACTAGTTATAGTTTCAACTTAAGCATCTCTTCAAGATTATAATCTTATGATGACTTTGAGGTCTCTTTTCTTTTCTACAAAATTCAGTAGACTAGTAGACACAGATGTTTATGTTTTTGGTAGCGTTGTGTGTCATATTTTAAACAAAATTATCATATTGCAAATTTTTAAATAGGTACCCACAACGTAGCTTTAGCTATTCCTTTATTAAAAATTATTATGGGAAAATGCTCTAAAAAAGTATCGATTTTTGGGGAAAAAATAGTACCATAGAGTTAATTTTGCCTTGTGATAGGTCACGTGACGGCACGTGAAGTAACATAGACAATACATCCATTCGTCAGTTTTCGGGCGAGGAGGCAGCGCAGTTTGCTGTTTTATTGAGTGGACTGCCAAAAAGCGAAAACTGAAAAATGGCAAAAACCCTTACACCTGCCCAAGCGACTAAGGAACATGTCTTGGCTGTATCCCGGGACTTCATATCCCAGCCCCGTCTCAGTGAGTACACCAAAATTTTGTTCGTCTATTTCGGAAAATGTCGTATTACTTGTCAATGAGAATATCGATTTTACCTTGTAGTTCCTTAGTTAGCCGTAATTATTGTTTTCTTTCATCCCTGTGTGCAATAACAAGGGTTGTGGGTCTTATTTTGGTAGTAAATTCTGGTTGCCAAGGGAATACTTTGACAAGAGATAATTATCTGACGGAATTTGGGGCTTCCATTTCTTAGATGTTAGAATAGCTGCGTCAGACGCACCTAAATGCAAATAAGTGGTATTATATAGCCCGTCATACCTTTAAAGTGGGCTAATTATTGTATTTTTTTAAGAAAACCGAGTGTTGTCGTCATGACATTCTCAAAATTTGTCACCTGATCATACTTTTTTCTAATCTGACGCCACAACCTTTTTACATTCAGCCTTTAGTTGTGGAAGTAGTTCTTATATGAATTATTGTAATTGTATTACTGAACACAAGATTATAAGTGTCTTCATTACGAAGATTAAAAAAAAATAGTTTTTAGCTTATTTCTTATGTCTTGTGTAACTAAGGATTACACTATGTACTTATAAGATTCTTTACTGTTAAACTGGTAATGACATTGGGTATAATGCAATAGTAGTCTCTTTTGATCTCTTTTGGCTCTTAGATCTCAAGCTGCAAAATAAAAGATATTTGGGCCAAAGCTGATTGTAAGATCTTTGAATTTCCATTGATTATTAAATATTTCTAGATTCAATCAGCTGTGAAGTTACCCTAAAAGTATATAACAGGCCTATGTATAATCAAGGTGTGATCTATATTGTGTCAAATTAGGTCATATGATCATATCCATCTGCCTAAAAATGACAGCTGTACATAACTGTCATATAGGGAAAATAATTTGATCAGCTGATTTTGTTTATGGTTAAAGATGAATCTTATTTGAAATATATTAACTCGTCGAATACCGTCATTATAGACACAATTATAGAACATTAGGTTGCGGTCACCGGTGACCGCTTGGTGTTTGACAGTTTAATAAGAATGATCCCGGGGCTGTACTGATAAGCAACTTATTAGAATATCAGACAAATTATGAGTTAGACCAGTTACCTACATAGCGTCTTTAGTTTTAACTAAAACTGTTCCACAAAATGCACATGACAACCATTAGTTTTCCTAGCAAACTGGAATACTTCATAAGTTATGGAAAAGTAACCAAATTATGAACAACTTAAGATTTATAATATAAGTAATTTTTGTTGTAACCTATAAAATAAAACTTACCAAACCATGACATCATAAGCAAACTGATTTTTAAATAATGAAAAGAAAATTGTAGATACCTAATTTGAAAATTATGCAAATGAATGACCTCTTTTAAAACTTACTGAATGCAATGGCAATCTTATTTAACACTAGCTTTTACCTGCTGCTTTGCCCGCATCCTGTTTTATCCCATGGCATTTAACTCGTTGAGTACGGTCATTATAGACACAATTATAGAACAATAGGTTGCGGTCACCGGTGACCGCTTGGTGTTTGACAGTTTAAATGGGATAAAAACTATCCTATCCACCTAAGTCAGCCGTTAACCTGCTTGTATACCAAATATTATCAAAATCCGTTCAGCGTGATTGACGGACGAACATCCAGACAAAGAAACTTTCGCATTTATAATATTGGATTTTTATTTTATTTTATGGGCATGTCGTCCCATAAGCAACCTATTCACTTGGGCCTTGAAGACACCCAGGTTTTACCCTTCAGGATATACAGACTCTGGTAAAGGACTTACAATGTACTTTAGATGTAGCTCTGGCTGCAAAATTAATATACTGCATAATCTCCGCTTACCATCAGATGGGCTGTAACCTTTATTGCTACCAGTAGTCATGTAAAAAATAAGTTCTTACTTTCTAACTAATCAGCTGTTTGAAATCAATCAACTTCAACAAAACTAAAGTCAATGTGATAAGATAAACAGTCTGTAACCCTGTGTTTGACACTAACATCAATCTTATTCAGAAATATTTCTAGATTCTAGAGAAAAAGTAAGATAGCTTCTCGAATAGAGCTAGACAAAATAATGTTCACTAATTCACTCTTATCATGTCTTACTTAATCTGCTTTTCATATTTTCCATTTGGATAATTTCTATTATTAAATATATTAGATGCCATGTCGGACAATGGTGTCCAACGCTAGCGGAGGATTAGCCTCTTAACAGTTTTTGTCGCCAGTTAACAGCTTAAGTTTGTTCTCGTATCTGTAATGACATCAATGGTACATTCTCAGCACACATTACTTACTTCCATACCTATCTCAAGAGAAATAACATTTGCTAATGAGAGTAAAATAAATATCCATAACTGAAAAAGAAAATATGTACTCCAAACTGTTAATGAGATCATGCATTCAAGGACACTTATCATTCATTACTCCAATACATAACACATACATTTTCTAATTCTAGTACTTTATTAGACCTAAATAGAATACATTATGCAGTTTTATCCCATAAATCCCTAAGCGGTCACCGGTGATCGCTTTCCACTAATATTACATTACATTATAGACCTTATTTCTAATGTTTAGAGAATACTTTTGTATGACCAAATTTAGGGGATGGATATCAACGGGTTATTTAGGAAAAGTAGTCCTTATGCAGCTTCCTTGTTATTGATTGTATGAAAGTAGGTCACGCAACTTTCCTGGCGATTGTCCAGTTTGAGTACTATTTTGTATCTAAGTACTATGTTAAAGATTTTATTTTGTAAGGGTAGTTACTTACAAATGTTTATCTATTTATTTCAATTTGGGTAACCAGCAGCTATATTGATTGATTTGACTGTACGATTGGTGCGGTGGCTGGGTAACCGGTTGCCGCACAACGTGTAGCGGGTTCGATTCCCGCACGGAGCAACTGTTTGTGTGATCCAGGTCTGGATGTCAAGTGCATGTGAACTTGTATGTTTGTAAACGCATCCACGATACGGGAGACAACCCTAATGTAGGACAACGTTTTTTAAAAAGAAAAAAAAGGAAAAGATTGTCGTCTTTCAACACGATGAAGTGAAAATAAAATCAAATTGTAATTAACTTTTGTACCATCATTTTACAAAGTACAGATTTAGGATGTATAGGACCAAACACTCATAATAATTCAATAAATACCATAAATATAATATAAACAATATTTTTCTATTTGTGCAGCTTACAAGACGGTGTCTGGTGTGAACGGGCCTCTGGTCATCTTGGACGAGGTCAAGTTCCCCAAGTTCTCCGAGATCGTACAGCTCAGACTCGCTGATGGCACCCTCCGCTCCGGTCAGGTATGTTGATGACGATGATCTAAAATTATTTTTGAAAACATTATTTATTTCAATATTATGATATCTAGGAAAACTTGCGACTTGTTGCAGTCACTGATATTAATTATTATTATTATTTATTTATCTTTATATGACAAAGGTAAGTATCTTATAATCTAAGGCCCTAATACTGAAAGGAAATAGGTAAATGACTAATTTTTATTTCAATGTCCGTCTGGTAGATTCTTTTAAAACATTAGACACGTATTTTTTATTTTCTTACAGAAACGAATACTTTCGACGATATATTGATTTGACATATCGCGTGACGTCACTTCTATGTACAATTTATACGTAGAAATGACGTTTTAGCCCCCACTCCTAAACTTTGATTCGTTATATCTAAGTATCAATTTATTATACAACAAAATAAAAAAATACGTGTCTAATATTTTTTCACTAGGTATCTAACTGACGGACTAGTTAGATTTTTAATTTTCATACCCTGTCATC